CCATCATCCTTCGATCCCTCTATGGTTGGTTGGAACTCCATTGACAATCCCTTTCTACAATGTGCAGTCCTGCAGTGCTGCTTCCAGATCCCCAAAGTTCAACCCTGAGTCACGACCTATGGTGTCTGCGAAAGTCAATTTTCATGAGAAGTCATATCCAGAAGGATGCCGTAGGAGTAAGGATAAGACGATTTCCTTGTCGGCTCAGTAGCAATGGCCGGCAAACTGTAATCGTTTTTCTTTGAGCTTAAGAGAGATTGGTCTCAGTTTTCCGTAAATTGTTTTATGTGCTGAATAGGATCTTCAGTTGATGTTCTGGATTTTTCTAAGTAGATTTGTAGATGTTCCATCCAGTCATCTTTCAAGACGAGCAGATAATGTCCAAGTTCCTGATACATACAGGAGAACTAAGTCTATATTGGAAAGGTTTGGAGTTTCAAGGCAGATGGAAGGGTCGAGCGCCAAATCCTGTGTCGTTATAGCTATAGCATAGCAAACAAACCAACAAATAAACAAAAACAAGTTCTAGAAGGTCCCAGAGAGTTCTAGAAGGTTTCAAAAAGTTCTAGAAACCCCCAGAAAGTTCTAGAAGGTTTCAGAAAATTTTAGAAGCTCCCAGAAAGTTATAGTACTACTATACTTATATACGATTTAAAAAAATTCGTATTTGGGTGATATTTAAAAACGAAACTGAATTAAACCATTTTTCATTGTTTTTTAACAAAAGTTCATCGAATTATGATACAGCAAATTAATTATTTTACAAAAAGAAAGAAAACTTCATAACCCTAATATATATATATATATATATATATATATATATATATATACAATTATATGATTGGTGTATACGGAATAAATTCCAATAACGAACAATTACTATTCTTAAAAGAGTGCACAATACAGAGTGAAGCGAGTATAATTAATTATTTAAAATTATAACCTAAATATGTTATAAAATCACTACAAAAATAGCCATTTTGTTTCAACACCTCTGGTGTCTTATCAAGTGATGATGCTGAATGTAGATTGTAGAATAAAGGTTTTAAAAGGTTCAAATTAATTAACCACCCCTCGTAAGGGGAAACGTTGTCACATGAGCTGAAATGACCAATCAAAATACAAGTATACGAGAATTCAAAAAAACTTGACAACGAAGTAAGTAATAACTATTAAATGTTTTAAAGTTGGGTTTATACTAAAATAGAATTTATTCTATCTAATAAGTATTAAATTGTACGATAAAATTTGAAATTAAAATTAAAAACTACCTATTTCAAAAATATAAATTTAATCTATATTAACTTTAAAATTTAAAATTTATTGAGGAAAAGAGAAAAAATACATATGTTATTCTATTCATTTTGTTTCTATTGAAATTACGTTGGCCAGAGACTGAACTCATATCACGTTGTGTTAAGTCATTTTTAGATCAGCCAACCAACGATTTTATCCATTAGACTATGGAGAAGGCCAGTGAGTAAAGCGGCCAAAATCTCGTTAATATGACAATAAAGATAAGAACAACACGCCGAACAATGTAAAAAGTGTAAGTAATTCAATATTACAATATAAATAAATACATGTATTAACAAATTAACTAGTAAAGACTTCTGACACAGATATGAATATATGCCGAATTTAATATCTTTTTTGCTGATCGCTTCCTTTATGATGATGTTGTTGATGACTACATTCTCCGCCAACGTTCAGGCCTAGAAGGTTCCACTTTCACCACAACGTACCCCTGTCATCCATTCGCTATCGCCGTTTTGCTTTCCAAGAGTTGGTTATTGGCGAAAGAAATTCAGAGTAGAAGAAAATGTCGATGGCGTGAAATTGTTTAAGGTGGACTTCAACTTGCCAGGGAGTGATCCACACACTTGATTTATATATATATATATATATATATATATATATATATATATATATATATATATATATATATATAAAAAGTGAAAAATGCAATGTAAAAGTAAGTGAAAAAATTAAATATTTTAGTTATTTTAAACCACAGAGATAAATAAATAAAAAATCTGAAAGAAATAAGTGACAATAAATTGAATACATTATTTTCGAAACGTCGTATTTCTGGCGACATAAGATACTACTTTTACTTCCCTAGAAACTAACCACGCCTGCAGCTTTCTTGTTGCAGGTTTACAGTGAAATTTGAAAATTTGCTAGCCAGCTAGATTATCAATCTAATAAAAATTGACCCAAATCGACGTGGCTATTCCTTTTTTTCCAGTCAGACGATTTTTAAGGCCAAATTAAAAAAAATATATCCATGGAATGGCCTTTTGGTATTCCTAGATGTTGTACACACACACAGAGTCACAGGTAACATCATTAAGATAGTGTTGTCAAACGTATATTCCATCACTGTTTTGCTGTTCGTTGTATCGTATTCGTTAGATGGATAGCAATAACTTTTAATGTGTGAGTAATTGAAAAATGTAACCATAATAAATACAAAAAATGTTAAAAAAATCGAGTCTGATACCCGGTATTTTCTCCAGGCGTGGAACGTGACTACTGTTTTTTTTGTAACAATGATAAATATGAAAATAAAATGGAATTGTTAAAAAAAAATTTCGTAAGATATCCCGATATTCTCCGCTGGCGTGAAATATGACTACTGTTTCTTTGTGGCCATAAGAAATATAAAAAAAAAAATGATAATGTTAAAAAATCGAGTCAGATATCTTGGCAGTCTCCCTTGGCATGGAAAGAGACTACAGTTTCTTTGTTTCATGGAAACTCTCCGCGTACCGTAGATGATGTACTTTGAGTAGCACTGATTTGGAGGGTTAAAACAAATACAGCCTGTGTACACAGCGGCTGATTAGTGACCGCTCAAGATTTTTGTCCTTACGCCGTGTTCTCTTCTGAAGGCAATATTGTCCGGCTGCCAAACAAGGGTGATGTTATTAGACGTTAGGAAAGTGACCAATTTGTTTTCATGCTCAACTAAGTTGTTCATCTTGTTCCGATGTACAGTATCAGCCGGTTCAACGTTCTGATTTATTCTTTTCTGTTCCTCTTTCTTCTTCTTTAATTTACGGGTGTTGTGGAATCTTGAATAGAACCAGATGCTCAGGCAGCTTGAATAGACGCAATAACTGAAAACATGATTTCTTATTGGAAAACGCCGATATAAAATGTACTTAATCAGAGATGGAACACGTATTGTTGCACAGAAGCTGACACCTGCGCATACTATATGCGAGGGGCGTTGATCTATTTTTGCCCCACGTCCATCGACAATCAGTTTCGTTAGTATTATTAAGATCTGCGAGTAGTTTAAATGTATGTGTTGTTCCAAAATCGCTCCTACGTTTATTACTTATGATCACTTCAATTATTTCTTAAGGAAACTCCCTTTATTGCATATCAAGAAATAGTTATTTATTTGTACTAATGTACAAAATGTGGCACAAGGCCAAAAAGGGGGTTGGGGAAGGACGGTCTTCTTCTGTCTTAATTGTAAACTTAGCTAGTCACAGACACGGACCCAAACATACCAACAATATTCCTATCCCCAAAACAACGCATTCACTCCTACCTTTCTTACTGCGTCCACCATAATACCTCAAATTCTCTATGAAATCCTAACTAGTCCTCATCGTTAATCTCCTATCATTAATCCCCTACCGTTAATCTCTCCCTTTATATTCGACACCTAAATGTAATGACGCGTCTTTTAAGTTTCTAGAAGCGATTGTTTACGGAATAGCAATGAATTTTCGCCCGATTTTCTTTGTGTTCTTGGCAAAATTCTGTCATAAAAGTTTATTGCAGAAAAAAATCGCTACCTTCTTCCATGCCTAGCTAAATTCTAAGAACAAAAAGTTGAGGTCCAAACTTCCTGTCGATAAGCCATAATTTACTTACAAGTGTGTAGCAGAGAGGCAGTTTGGCAAAATAGTGTCAGGCATAAAAGTACGTACGAAGGAAACACAACACAACACACACTAAACGCGCCAACTAAAATTCTCTTTCTCTCTCTCTCTCTCACACACACACACACACACACACACACACACACACACACGGTAACTTATCCAATAATATCTATTGTTTTATCTTTTAACAAAAGCTTTATCTGCACATCGCATGTTTTTAGGATTTGCGGCCGCCAATAATGAATCCCGCTAAAACTGTGGATGTTGAATAAGTCCGGTGAGAAGACACGGTCTTTCATTACGATTCTTTGCGTCCTGGATATGTTGATAAACTACACCAGGCCAGGTCTATGATCGGGAAGTCCTGAGGAGCGTGCAATCCCCTCTTAATTGCTGTTTTTCCCAGGTTTACCGTGACTTTGGGTGATAGCACCTATCAGGGCACGAGCTATGGGCAAATAGTTAAACCTCAAACTGGAGTCAAAACACTAAACAGTGAAAGTGTGAGAGCGGGATGCCAGCCTCGTAGGACGCTTGAATTCATGAAGTCTGGGAACCAGCGAATGCAGCTCATCGGAGCAATTACCATGAAAGTATTTGTCAAAAAAGACAGAGAGAGGCGACGACACGTCTGTGAGAGAGCGACTGCAGACGAGATGCCAGATCAGTGTCAATGACATTGCATATCCGTCTCTGGAGCTTATCAAGGATCCCGAGGCAAACAGAAGGGGCTCCAGACCATATATGGCAGCAATACTTCATGCAAGGGCGAATGGCTGATTTGTAGATTTGAAGGATAGTCTCCGGCGAGAAAAATTTACTGGCGCGGCACAGGGAGCCAACTTTCCTTGCAGTGAACGAAGCAATTGACTCAATGTATTTGTTCCATCTCAGGTCAGCAGTCAACGTGAGACAGAGCAGCCGCAGAGAGTTGCTCTCGAGAAGTTGAGCGTCAGACATTCTAATGATGGGAACAGGGAAGGATCTCTGTGGTGATTAATAGAGAGCAGTTTTGTTTTCGAGGCGTTAACCAGCCAATTCCTGCACCAGTTCACAATCGATTTGACGTCCTTTTCGAGACGAGCGGCCAGGTTAGTTTTGTGATAAGAAGGAAAGAAAGAAGGAAAGAAGTAAGGATATGAGAGAAAGAAAATGAAAAATGGAAGATATAAAGGAAAGAAGAAATAAAAACGTAGAGATAAGAGAGAGAGAGAGAGAGAGAGAGATAGAAAGAAAGAAAGAAAGAAAGAAAGAAAAAGCATTACTGAATGAAAATAAAGAAAGAAGGTCATTATGAAGGAAAGAAAAAAAGCAATATTGAAAGAAAATAAAGAAAGGTCATGATGAAAGAATGAAAAAGCAATATTGAAAGAAAATGAAGAAGGTCACGATGAAAGAAAGAAAGAAAAAGCAATATTGAAAGAAAATAAAGAAAGAAGGTAATGATGGAAGGAAAGAAATATAGAATAAAGGAAGGTTATGAGGCAAAAAAGAAAGGAAAAATAAAGGTTATAAATGAAAGAAATAAATGAAAAGGAAGAATATAAAGAAAAGAGAAAGGGTGTGGGGGGAAAGAAAAGGGCTAGATAAAGAATTAAAAAAGGAGGATAATTGTGAATAAAAGTAAAAAAAAGATTGGAGAGAAAAAGAAACGAGAGAAAGGGAAACAAAACCGAAGAAAATGTGGGAAAGAAAGAAGGAAAGACATAAAGAGAGGCAGAAAGAAAGGAAGAAAAAGGGAAGGTTATTATGGAAAGAACGAAAGAAAAAACTAAGGATATGAGAGAAAGGAAAACAAAAAAGAAGGATATGAGGGGAAGAAAGAAAGAAAGACATAAAGATAGGCAGAAAGAAAGGAAGAAAAAGGGAAGGTTATTATGGAAAGAACGAAAGAAAAAACTAAGGATATGAGAGAAAGGAAAACAAAAAAGAAGGATATGAGGGAAAGAAAGAAGGAAAGACATAAAGAGAGGCAGAAAGAAAGGAAGAAAAAGGGAAGGTTATTATGGAAAGAACGAAAGAAAAACTAAGGATATGAGAGAAAGGAAAACAAAAAAGAAGGATATGAGGGGAAGAAAGAAAGAAAGACATAAAGATAGGCAGAAAGAAAGGAAGAAAAAGGGAAGGTTATTATGGAAAGAACGAAAGAAAAAAACTAAGGATATGAGAGAAAGGAAAATAAAAAAGAAGGATATGAGGGGAAGAAAGAAAGAAAGACATAAAGATAGGCAGAAAGAAAAGAAGAAAAAGGGAAGGTTATTATGGAAAGAAAGAAAGAAAAAAACTAAGAATATGAGAGAAAGGAAAACAAAATAGAAGTATATGAAGGGAAGAAAGAAAAAAGACATAAAGATAGGCAGAAAGAAAGGAAGAAAAAGGGAAGGTTATTATGGAAAGAACGAAAGAAAAAACTAAGGATATGAGAGAAAGGAAAACAAAATAGAAGGATATGAAGGGAAGAAAGAAAGAAAGACATAAAGATAGGCAGAAAGAAAGGAAGAAAATGGGAAGGTTATTATGGAAAGAACGAAAGAAAAAACTAAGGATATGAGAGAAAGGAAAACAAAATAGAAGGATATGAAGGAAGAAAGAAAGAAAGACATAAAGATAGGCAGAAAGAAAGGAAGAAAAAAAGGAAGGTTATTATGGAAAGAACGAAAGAAAAAACTAAGGATATGAGAGAAAGGAAAACAAAAAAGAAGGATATGAGGGGAAGAAAGAAAGAAAGACATAAAGATAGGCAGAAAGAAAGGAAGAAAAAGGGAAGGTTATTATGGAAAGAACGAAAGAAAAAACTAAGGATATGAGAGAATGGAAAACAAAAAAGAAGGATATGAGGGGAAGAAAGAAAGAAAGACATAAACATAGGCAGAAAGAAAGGAAGAAAAAGGGAAGGTTATTATGGAAAGAACGAAAGAAAAACTAAGGATATGAGAGAAAGGAAAACAAAATAGAAGGATATGAGGGGAAGAAAGAAAGAAAGACATAAAGATAGGCAGAAAGAAAGGAAGAAAAAGGGATGGTTATTATGGAAAGAACGAAAGAAAAAACTAAGGATATGAGAGAAAGGAAAACAAAAAAGAAGGATATGAGGGGAAGAAAGAAAGAAAGACATAAAGATAGGCAGAAAGAAAGGAAGAAAAAGGGAAGGTTATTATGGAAAGAACGAAAGAAAAAACTAAGGATATGAGAGAAAGGAAAACAAAAAAGAAGGATATGAGGGGAAGAAAGAAAGACAGACATAAAGATAGGCAGAAAGAAAGGAAGAAAAAGGGAAGGTTATTATGGAAAGAACGAAAGAAAAAACAAGGATATGAGAGAAAGGAAAATAAAAAAAGAAGGATATGAGGGGAAGAAAGCAAAAAAAACGTAAGGATATGAGGAAAAGAAAGAACGAAAGTAAGGTATTTAGGGAAAGAACGAAAGAAAGAAATCAGGATACGAGAGAAAGAGAAAAAAATAAGAAAAGAAGGAAAGACAGAAAGGAAAAAAAAAGAGTGAAGAATGAAAGAAATTGGATTTAAAATAAGCCGAAAAATAAACAAAAAAGAAAAAGTAAATAATAAAAATAAGAGAGTATGCATATATGTCACTGAGAGTGCGCCACATATATATATATATATATATATATATATATATATATATATATGTAGAGAGAGAGAGAGGGAGAGAGAGAGAGTAGATAGTGATAGTGAGAGCGAGAGAGAGTGAGAGACAGTGAGCGAGAGACAGAGAGAGCGCATGAGAGTATAAATAGCTTGCATTGTGCATAAGAGATGATACGGAATAGGAAAAAATCAATGTTATCCAAATCGTTCTCTTGTCTTTGCGATCTTAAACCCCGCGGTCAAGATTTTGGTATCCGGTAGGATTGAAGTCTGAAAACGTAAATGAAAATAAAATGTCACGTGATATCAGTAAAAGTTCGAGAAGTCGCTTGGCGGGAAAAGTGACAAATAAATAAATAAATAAAAAACACATGAACGTAGTTTCTTTGTCCTCAACGCAGTAAGTTACGCATAAACATTGACACTGTTACTCGCCAAAGACATATAATTAGTTATTTTCAAAACTAGAAAACAGTGAAACAGAATAAATCAATACAAGGAGATAATGCCACTAAGACGCTATGAATCCAAGTAACGCCATAAGAAGAAAAATATTTTAGCGGGAAGAAAGGATATTAAAAGAACAGTTTTCAGAAACATAGAAGAAGGCGATTGGCGTTGCATTTAATTATTTGAAAATTGGCGGCAGTAAGGAAGCAAGAAAATGGAAAAGAAATAAGTGCGAGAAATGAAATTATTAAAATAGAAGATCCTGTTACATTTACAGTAAAACGGGGAGACATAGTCACTAATCTTTCAGTACGCTTAAACCTTTGAGCCCTATGTTGCTAAACAATTTTAACCCTTCTGCCTGAGCTCCTGAGTCAAAATTCGCAAATAATTGGTATGTAATGTTTTACGTTAGATATAAAAATAGTTACAAGTATTTAACCACCGTTCAACCGGTGGCCGGGCATTACGTCATTTTTCTCTACCACTGTTCAACCGGTGGCTGGGTTGAAGTTAGGTATAATGAATAAAAAAGAAAGGAAGAAAAGGAAAGAAAGAAAAAAGAGAAGTTGAATATTATCGAAACCATATCGTTTTCTTCTTGAATGCAAAATTGTCTTTCAAATTTTCTTTCTTCGCAAATATTTCTTCAACAATATTTCTTTCTCTCTTAATATATCTTTCTTTCTTTCTTTGTTACATTACACTTTTTCTTTCTTTCGTAGATTATATTTCTTTCGTTATTTCTTACTTTCATTTCTTTCTTTCTTTCTTTAAATTATATTTCTTTTTTTTGCATATTTTCTTTCTTTATTTCTTTACATTATATTTCTTTCTTTCATTATATTATTTTTTTCCTTCTTTTTTTCATTTTTTATATTAAATTTTTTCCTTCATTTTTCATTCTCTACATTATATTATTCTTTCTGTCTTTCTTTCGTACCTTCTTTCTTTTTTTACATTATATTTTTTCTATCTTTCTTTCTTTATATTATCTATTTTTTCTTTCTTTCATTTCTTCTATTCTTTACATTCTATTTCTTTCTTTCTTTTTGCTTTCTGTATTTACATTGTCTTTTTTCTTACATCATATTTCTTTCTTTTTTGTTAAATTACACCTTTTCTTTCTCTCATAAAACCTATTAATTTATTCCTTAATTACTTCTTTTTCGTTCTTTCTTTCTATTATATTTTTTCTTCCTTTCTTTCATTCTTAACTTTAAATTTTTTCTTCTTTTTTTCCTTTGTTCTTTCTTTTTTTACATCATATTTTTTCTTTCTTTTTTCTTTCTTTCGTCATTACATTATCTTTTTTCTTACATCATATTTATTTCTTTATTTCTCTTTTGTTACATTACACCTTTTCTTTCTCTCATAAAGCCTATTTCTTTATTCCTTACTTATTTTCTTCTTCTTCGTTCTTTCTTTCTTTTTTCTTTCTTTCTTTCTTTCTTTTTGTTTTCTTTCTTTCATTTCATTATCATTCTTTATGTCTTTCTTTCTTTATTTTTTCTTTTCTTTTTCTCCCTTTCATACTTTCCTTCTTTATATTATCTTTCTTTTCTTCCTTCTTTCTTTTTTTACATTATATTTTTTTTCTTTTTTTTTTTTTTCTTTCCTCATTACATTACGTTTTTTCTTATCATATTTCTTTCTTTATTTCTCTTTTTATTACATTACACCTTTTCTTTCTCTCTCATAAAGCCTATTTCTTTTTATTCCTTACTTATTTTCTTCTTCTTCGTTTCTTTCTTTCTTTTTTCTTTCTTTTTTCTTTCTTTTTTGTTTTCTTTCTTTCATTTCATTATCATTCTTTATGTCTTTTTCTTTCTTTATTTTTTCTTTTCTTTTTTCCTCTTTCATACTTTCCTTCTTTATATTATCTTTCTTTCTTCCTTCTTTCTTTTTTTTTACATTATATTTTTTCTTTCTTTTTTTTTTTTCTTTCCTCATTACATTACGTTTTTTCTTACATCATATTTCTTTCTTTATTTCTCTTTTGTTACATTACACCTTTTCTTTCTCTCATAAAGCCTATTTCTTTATTCCTTACTTATTTTCTTCTTCTTCGTTCTTTCTTTCTTTTTTCTTTCTTTCTTTCTTTTTGTTTTCTTCCTTTCATTTCATTATCATTCTTTATGTCTTTCTTTCTTTATTTTTTCTTTTCTTTTTCTCCCTTTCATACTTTCCTTCTTTATATTATCTTTCTTTTCTTCCTTCTTTCTTTTTTTACATTATATTTTTTCTTTCTTTTTTCTTTCTTTCCTCATTACATTACGTTTTTTCTTACATCATATTTCTTTCTTTATTTCTCTTTTGTTACATTACACCTTTTCTTTCTCTCATAAATCCTATTTCTTTATTCCTTACTTATTTTCTTCTTCTTCGTTCTTTCTTTCTTTTTTCTTTCTTTCTTTCTTTTTGTTTTCTTTCTTTCATTTCATTATCATTCTTTATGTCTTTCTTTCTTTATTTTTTCTTTTCTTTTTCCCTTTCATACTTTCTTTCTTTATATTATCTTTCTTTTTTCTTCCTTCTTTCTTTTTTTTACATTATTTTTTTCTTTTTTTTTCTTTCTTTCCTCATTACATTACGTTTTTTCTTACATCATATTTCTTTCTTTATTTCTCTTTTGTTACATTACACCTTTTCTTTCTCTCATAAAGCCTATTTCTTTATTCCTTACTTATTTTCTTCTTCTTCGTTCTTTTCTTTCTTTTTTTTCTTTCTTTCTTTCTTTTTTTTTTTCTTTCTTTCATTTCATTATCATTCTTTATGTCTTTCTTTCTTTATTTTTTCTTTTCTTTTTCTCCCTTTCATACTTTCCTTCTTTATATTATCTTTCTTTTCTTCCTTCTTTCTTTTTTACATTATATTTTTTCTTTCTTTTTTCTTTCTTTCCTCATTACATTACGTTTTTTCTTACATCATATTTCTTTCTTTATTTCTCTTTTGTTACATTACACCTTTTCTTTCTCTCATAAAGCCTATTTCTTTATACCTTACTTATTTTCTTTTTCGTTCTTTCTTTCATTTTTTATTTCATTATATTGTCTGTCTCTCTTTCTATAAATAATTTTCTTGCTTTCGTTAAATTACCTTTCCCTATTTATATTATCTTTCTTTCTTTTCTTTTTGCTTTCTTTCTTTACATTATAGTTTTTCTTTCTTTCTTTCTTTCTTTCTTTATTTCTTTCTTTCTCTACATTATATTTTCTTTCTTTTCTTTTTGCTTTCTTTACATTATATTTCTTTCTTCATATTCTATTTTTCTTTCCTTCTATTAGGTTGGTGCAAAAATAATGACGTAATAATGTCGTTTTTTGACGTATTTTTTAACGTCAAAAAACGACATTATTACGTCATTGTTTTTGCACCAACCTAATATCTTTTAATCTCGACATTATATTTTTTCATTCTTTCTTTCTTACATTTTTTCTTTCTTTCATTCATACATTATATTTTTTTGTAATGCCCGTCGTAGGACAGACTTTGTAAATCAAAGATACAATAATAATTTCCTTTAACCGTCACGTAATCGAATTATTTCAAGATGAGTTCAACTTTGTTTGCTCTATGGCGATCCGCGTTCAAACTCAAATGTTGGCAGCGACATTTTATTCCTATATGACAATTCCTTTTTTTCTCTTTTTTCGTTTTTTTTTATTACATTATGTTTTAACCTTTCTTTCTTTCTTTCTTTCTTTCTTTCTTTCTTTTGTTCTTTCTTTCATTTCATTATCATTCTTTATGTCTTTCTTTCTTTCTTTCTTTTTTTCTTTCTTTCATTTCATTATCATTCTTTGTCTTTCTTTATTTTTTGTTTTCTTTTTCTCCCTTTCCTTCTTTCTTTCTTTATATTATCTTTGTAAATGTCTGTCTTTCTTCTTTCCTTTTTTTCCTATCGCTAAACTTTCTTCTTTGATTTCTTGCCCTTTCTCCACTTCTTTCTAATGCCTATTGGCTAATTTGATACCAATGCCTTTTTATACGTTTCAATAGCAAGAAACTGCTGATTCCATGGGTCTATAGAATTCTTCAGTCGTAAAGCATAAAAAAGAAAAAGAAGATCCTCCCTGTCCCTGTAAAGAAAAAAAAAAGCAGAAAAAAAAAGAGATTGGCAGAAGGAAAGAAACAGAAAGAATCGAAAGTGAGAGGAAAGGCAACGAAATGGAAAAGGTTTCAAACGGAAGGAAAGAACTGATGACATTAGTGCTGCAAAGGATAAGAACAACACGACAGGCTTTGATTTAGTCATGAAATGCTCGAAGCAGGATCCTAAGATGAATACAGATACGAAATCCAATAATCTCAGAAGTCGGGATCAACTAACTCCTGACAGCACATGTGTGTTCGTCTGCGATAGCCTATATTTGTACGAGCACACGAACACGCATATATATATGAGGCACGGTGGGGTAATGGATATCGGCTTGGACTGTGGAATCGCAGAGCCGAGTCGAGTTCGAATCCAGGTTGAACCCATTACATTCACTTACGTGCTAATACTTTTGGGAAAGGTGTGAATCATCTTCTTCTCCCTCCAGCTATGGGTTAAATAGCAGGACAGCCTGGGTTCTATAGCCTCGGATGGCAACTAGTCTAGGAGAAGGACAACTCTGAATTCAAAACCTGAAGGGGGTTGTTTGGGGACCTTGTGGCACGTAGTGCACCAGGTCTCTGTATTCGGCCCTTCAAAAAGTGTGGATGGCCCTGCACGAATCCTTCACCATTATAGTCGAATCTCATGTGCCAGTGTCGGGCTGTCAGTTTCCTAGAAACTGATATGCTTGACCCTCATACGTCGAACCCGACGGGAGAATCGATTTATATATATATATATATATATATATATATATTGTTAAATATATGTAAATATATAAATTTTCACCCGAAATTAAGCCAAACATACGAAGTTTAGTACGGCTCATTATCAGGCATAACAAACATTCATTTTCTGTTCTATTTAACAATATATCTTTAAATAATGATCTGCTGCCCCAATACGCTATATATATATATATATATATATATATATATATATATATATATATAGTATTGATTTAAAAGAGGGTTCAATACCAAGCTTAGAGACACTGTTATTTATTATGAAGATGTTACATACGGACAAACAAGTACTCACGATAATGTCGTCTTGACAGGTGAGGAACAAAGATAGTTATAAACGATTCTATTCATAATTTTAAATAGAATCGTTTATAACCGTCATTGATCCTCACCTGTCGAGATGAATTCGCATCGAAACAAAAATGCATCTTTATCATGCGTACTTGTTTGTCCGTATGTAATATCTTCATTATATATATATATATATATATATATATATATATATATATATATATATATATATATATATATATATGTGTGTGTATATATATATATATATATATATATATGTGTGTGTGTGTGTGTCTCTGTGTCTGTGTGTTAATGTGATTAATAGACATTGATCACATTAGCATTGCAAATTAATTTCTTTGTTGTAATTACTTATTTATGACACACACTATATATATATATATATATATATATATATATATATATATATATATATATATATATATATATATATATATATATATATATATATACAAATATCGATCTATCTATCTATCTATATCTATATATATATATACATATATATATGTGTGTGTGTGTGTGTGTGTGTGTGTGTGTGTGTGTTATACAAAATTATTGTTTTAGGATAATAATAATATATGTATGATAAAATATAGTTTTAAGGTATGATGTGTTTATTGCTAAAAGTTGTCAATATCAGGGATAGAGCGTATGTAAATATAAAAGTGAACCCTGGCAATTGCTTGTACAACAATGTAATATACCAAGCCACTATCAGCAGATAACGAAGAAAAATATTCATAGCCTAACTGAAAGTCCATGGAGACAGAGGAACTACACACATAAAACCTCCTTTACAAATAGTAAATAGTAGAACTGCTCATTGCTTTCGAAGCATATGTGTGAAGTGAAAAACAAAAGACAAATTACACCAAAATTTTCATGGAAAATAAGGAAAACAACATCAAACTCCATCAATAAATTCAAAATCTGTACACTTTGTCTGTTGGAGAAAATACTCAAAACAAATGACTAAACAAACGATCAGAACTTATCTGAAGATAAAAACACGAAAACAATATTTTATTATGTAATTTGAAAATAGAAAACCAATGGATAAAGACGTTGGTCAGATCCAGTGACTAGACTCAAAGAGTGGTGAATTCAATAATAAGCCACAGCAGTTGTGAACTTGGAGAGTTGAATTAAAGGGAAATAACTGAGACATCCGTAAGAGGCATGGCACGTGGAACTAGAACTATCTATCCCGGTGGATGAAATAAAGGGTTCGGCTCGAAATTCCAATCAACTGAAGAAAGCCGGAGCTTACAACGGCTGAAACGTTGTGCATATGGCCATGAAGACGAGGATAACAGTCCAAATAATGTAAATAGTGCAAGTTATCATAATACCTCATCTCAGGGATATAGACAGAAAACAAATGAAATAATTAATAAACAAATTAACAAACTACTAATGAACACAAGTAACTTTAGTAGTAGTAGTAGTAATATTAATAATAATAATAATCAACAAAACAATTAAGTTAGTGTATTAGATAATAAGTAAAATCTTAACAAACGACTACTATAAAATACAATAATCGCATTTGGACCCATAATAATTTCTACTAAATAGTCTCTCGAAAAATTTGAAGTATAACCGTTATTGCTCACCTCATAGGTGCCAGGATAATACAATAGACCTTACTGCTAATAATATACTATTGACTAGCATATATAAATAGTCTAAAGGAGAATCAATATGTATCAATATGGTGATTTTCTTTCGTCTTTCAATGATAATATTATTAAGCTTATCAGACGTTATGAAAAGAATTTACATAAAATAAATAGACAAAACTTGTCTATATTATTTAATGAAACATGCATCAATGAATATATATTATAATTATTTTTTATGAAAATAGGATTCCATCGCGAGACAGAAATTACTGTTTCAAAACTGGACAGCAGTATTTAAGTTTAATTCCAATATTAAATATTAACTACTGGGTGGGAATTTCCTCCTCAAGCGGTGTTTTGGAATAACTATGGCACGGAATGTTTTACTCATTTATAGTTTTGAAATGGAGGTGAGGTCTAGGGTTTATTTTTTCTTTATTAAAGGGTCACTGTTTTGATGGAAGTAGGGATGTTTGTGATATGTCAAGTTTTTGGAGTCGTGTAAGGTTGGGTAATTTTTTTTTGTCTGGCGACAATGGCTAATCGAATCAGACTTCTTTCTAAAACTCTAACTGATTGATGTAGTAGTTCTGTATATATATATATATATATATATATATATATATATATATATATATGTATATATACTAGACTTTTTTTGCAACACACTGGCGTGTGTTTAAATCACTAAACATGTTTTGACGAGGTTTCCAAAATCTACGTTTCGTTCAGTTTCGCAAACGAATCGATGAAATTTGAATAAGCTGATTTATTTGTAAAAATACTTTGAAAAAAAAAACAATACTTCATGGTTTTTGCGCAAACTAGTAAAACCAACTGTATGTTGTACCCCCTTTAGCTGTTTTTTTGCATTTCATTTTTCTCAAAATTTGTCTTCGATCGATCAAATGTGTGACCAACGTACGACCAGACAGACCAACCGTAGGTACAGAATTAGAATTATATATATATATATATATATATATATATATATATATATATATATATATATATATATCAGTTGAGGTCAGACAATAAACTATATCTGCTTCCTGGGTAAGACGATTAGCTACATACATCCGACGGCAAGGCCTTTGATTTGCAGGTTTTGAGGAGCATGGAATCACCTCTTAATTGCTGGCGTTCCACGTGTCAGGTTCCAAGCTATAGGCAAATAGTCACTTACCTCCAAACAAAAATGAGGCAAAGCATTATGAAAGGATAAAAAATAGGTTTTAATAACAGCAATACTTTTGGGGAAAACTTATTGCTAGGGATACATTTTGGAAAAAGAAAAATATTACCAGCAATAAAAAATTTTGTAAAAAAATTACCAGCAATAAAAATTTTATCGGCATTAAATAACCCATTGAGGTTGATATACCGTAAAACAAACCAAGCCAAATCCTGACTCACTTAGGAAGCGGAAAGAAAGCAACAAATCTTGATCCCTGTCTGGTGGAATTTCCAAGGAGTACTACATTTCGAGCTTGTTCCATACAGTCACGTCATTAACGCTAAATTGTATTGCCAGCAGCGAGACAGTGTGGACGTCAAACCAAAGAAAGAGTATCCTGCTCCTCATTAATTTTACTGTTTACGAAAAATAAAGTCAGTAATGGGATAACAACCCAAACACGTGTACCCACTAAAATGATGTTTAATATACATATATATATATATATATATATATATATATATATATATTTTTTAGTTGGATAGATGTGAGTTTGTGACCCTGGGTTTCACGCGTGAGCAATCCTGACGATCGCTAAAGCGTGAAACCCAGGGTCACAAACTCACATCTATCCAACCAAATATGTTAGCTCTATCTCTGATAATGAGTGCTTTCTAATAAGTATGCGCATATAATATATAAATAATTAAACATATATATATTTATATACACTTTTCACACACATATATATATATATATTTAAGTAAATGCTCTGTTTATAATAAACAGTATTAAATAACATTTACCGGCCTGAATGTCCGAGAAATTTTCATAGAAAATATTTGTCCTTTGACAGGATTCGAACCTGCATCCTATACGGAACCGCCATTTACGCTGACGTGCCTAACCTTTCGGCCACAAAGGAGCGTTCGGTAGGCAATAATAATAATAATGTCTTTAATAAATAAATTGTCGGACTTTGTCCATTTCTTTATATATATATATATATATATATATATATATATATATATATATATATATATATATATATATATATATATATATATATATATATATATATATATATATATATATATATATATTGACACTCCCTAGACACCAGCACATGATTTGATTATAGTTGCGAAGGATTTGTGGAACCAACCAGACGAAGAGCCGAATACAGAGACCTGGTGCACTACGTGTCACAAGATCCTCAAACTACACTCCCTTGAATTCAGTCTTTCTTGTTATTTATCCATATGTGGGGGGAGAAGAAGAGGATTACTACCTTTCCGAATAGTATTAGCACGTAAGTGAATGTAATGAAATCGACTGCAATTCGAACCCGGCTCAGCTCGGAGCAACTATCTCGTGTGCATCACCATAATTTGTCCATTCAACCAAATTTTTACTATCTAAGACACCACTCTATTAATTGAGTTACTTTTTTCCAGGTTTTCAGATAAGACATTTTTAGCCATCTTGATACCATTTATCGTAAGAATCACTAAAAAAAAGAAGACAGGTTAAAATCGTTTTGTGCCTTTCCAACTGAGCAATGGTGAGAGATAAAAGATCATTGAGGCCTTCAGTAATGATACCAACATTCTTACTCTGACTTACATCTCCAATGTCAATTTAAGAACCATCTAAAGAACGGTGAATAGTTTTAAAAAAGCCGGAACAGTAGAGAAGAAAACTGGATTAGGAGGTCACTACATGAAGACTGATCATTATTTCAACTTCGAGCTAAGAAGATCAATTAGCAAAGATTCAACTCAAGCCATAAGACGTTTGGCACTTGAGAGAGGAGTTTCAGCTTTGAAAGTCCAAAGAGCAGTGAGAAAGGACTTGAAAATGAGATCGTGCGTGAAACGTGGGAAGGACAGAAAGTTAGAACGTTAGAGAGGGTGAAGATCATCTTGAATAAATTGGAAAATCATTCTGGAATATTATATATACTATGATTAATTAATGACGCACATTTCATTTTCGTTTATGAACGATTTTATCAAAATTCTTCTGTTAAGCTTAGAGAGTAATTACACATTCTGTTTGCTCAAGGTATAGTCTAATAGTGTTATAAAAAACTCGGACAATTCCATTAAGATATCTTTAATCATTTCTAAGATACAACGGTTCAAAGCTTAATCTAACAATTGGACAATTTTGATGTTACAGGTGTGTGTGTGCGTGACGGATTTCGTCGATTAGGACTTCATCGGGCTAGGTTTGATTACGTTGGTGCATCTACACATGCCCACGAATAAGAGTTGGAAATTTTAAATTTAGAATTTCTTTTTTAATATCTTTTGGGTATAAAATCGAGCCAATTTCATTTACATTATTTTCCATTTTGCTTCCATCATCTTTTTTTTATTAAATATCCGACATTATGGTAACAGAAGATCTGCCAAGAATAGTGAAACATTGTAAGAACCTCGACGCCAATTTACTGTGGATGAAGTAACGATTAAAGCCATTTCTAAACATTTTCGTATCAGCGAAATGTTTTCTTTTTTAATTACGGTAATCTTTTTTTTATATTAAAATTGTGGTGAGTCGCGTTACGGCGAGCAACTGATGAGTTTAAAGTGTTGTTTTATACAATGTGTCTTTTTTATGGCCATATACTCTTTTATTTAAACTTCCTGAGATTTTACCAATATATTCTTTCTGGCAAACCTTCAGGTTTTGGTTCGTTGTTTTGTTTTGTATCGATTAACTCTTTTATTGTTTTAGATGTAGTTGTGGCATATTTTATGTTGATTTCAGATAAATTCTTTTCGATGGAGTTATTTGGAAAAACAAACCACGTCCGATGAATTCCTCAGAGACGAAACACGTCACACGAAAACTTTTCCACATTGTCATATATCTTTTCTTTAAAACTGTTGTTCATATTTAAAAAAAATTATATATCACTATCCCATCTATCTATCTATCTATCTATCTATCTATCTATCTATCTATCTATTTATCTATCTATCTATCTATCTATCTATCTATTTTTCATTCTCTGCTTTTCTATCTCTCTCTCTATCAATCTCCACCCCCTCTCTGTATATCTATCTACCACCACCACTCTATCTATCTATCTATCTATCTATCTATCTATCTATCTATCTATCTATCTATCTCATTCTCTGCTTTTCTATAGCTCTATCTATCTAAACCCTCTCTCTGTATATCTATCTACCTCCACCACTCTATCTATCTATCTATCTAGCTAGCTAGCTAGCTAGCTAGATAGATAGATACATAGATAGCTCTCTCTAGCTCTCTCTCTCTCTCTCTCTCTCTGTCTCTCACACACACACACACACACACACACACACACACACATATATATATATATATATATTATATATATATATATATATATATACATGATGAACTCTACCGTCGTTTTCGATGTATGTTTTTCATTCAGTTCAGTTTTTAGGCTTATGTTTCGCATGATACAACAATAATGTACGTGATTTGCAAACAAATCCACACGGACGGCATACTGAAAGGTTGACTGCCACATCGGCTGATGTGTTAACCCAAGATTTTGTGTTAATTCTGAATTCTCTCAGATGAGTCTGACGATCATTTTCGAAGTTCATTATACCCTTGGTTGCATGTGTTTCTCCAGTTTACTCTGTTTTCAACAGCAATTTCGAACTGCTCTATAGGGCTGTTTGCAGCAATTGTATTTAAGTTTGTCCTTTGAAGCGTCACACACACATATATATATATATATATATATATATATATATATATATATATATATATATATATATATATATATGTACCAAACGGTTAGGAATTAAATGTATCTTTATAATTAGTATAAATCTTAGCTATGTTATATTAGGTAGAGCACTGTTTTATTGCTACCAGAACTCACTAGCGTCAGCAACAACTATGCGCTTATATATATATATATATATATATATATATATATATATGTGTGTGTGTGTGTGTGTGTGTGTGTGTGTGTGGACCCTTTAATCGGGTACAGTGTAACCCGGATATAAGAGAGTTATCGGTACTGGAGAAGAAGTCTCTTATATCCTGGTTTCTCTTATATCCGGGTTTGGTCTATTTTATATACATTAACACAGGCTCTAATTTGGGACCAGAGAAAATCTCTCTTATATCCGGGTTTCTCTTATATGCCGGTCTCTTATATCCGGGTTACACTGTATTTTATCTGGCTGAGGCGTCAATTTGGGTAGTTCTGGTATCAATTTCTCAACTGCTGTGTTGAATTCTAAATCTCTAATTCCAAAACGTATAGAGTCCATTCACCAGGGTTGAATAAGGCCAACGTACTTAGCGCTGGTTGAGATTGTGAGATAATTTTTTTTTTTTTCTGTGTAATTTATATGCTCTGTTATAATAAATACATTGAGCTCTCTTTGTGGATCAGTTTTAATTGAAATTATTAGGATCCACTTGGATTATATACCAACGGATCTATAACCTGTACTTTATAATGTAAAAATAATAAAATATTTAAAAAATAACAAATAATTGTTTTAAAAATTCATTTTTTATCGAAATATCTTTTTGCTTTCAGACAATATTATCCAGATTCATTAAAATAAATAAAAGCAATTAAAAGCTATTGAAATTAAATAATATTTTTGTTTTATTGAGTTTTGTATGTTACAATTCAGAGAAAAAAAAACAAAAAAACAAAATATGATTTGTTTTCCTCAAAGCCTTGTGCTTTTAACTAATATAATTACTAATCTTCCCAAAATTAAAATTATAGAGTTTTTTTACAATTAGTTGGGTGAGGGGGTAATACATATGAAAAAAAAATTGCTATGACTTATAATAAGTTCCATCATTTGTGAATAGTTTCTGAAAGTTTCATTAAAATCCGACAATTATTTTTATTTTTGCAAGATTTTCTAAATTAATGTGTGTCTTACAGAAAAAATGCGCTAAAATTTTATGTTATTTTACCAGTTCTGGTGATACAAAGAGAAACAAGGTTTTTTTTAATCAAAATTTAGAATGTTCTAAAAAGAAGTAAATGTTTTAAAAAATAATTAAAAAAAAATTGATCTTTCCTCTTAATAATAACATAAATATTTAGACGATAAAATTTTGTTTTCGACAAATTGGGCGTCTTTTTCATCATTCTATGCTCTTCTTTTTTTTAGCGATCTCATGAAGATACCTACGATAACAGACAAACATCATACCGACTGTACCAACGGGCCTCGGTAAAGAAGAGGTAACGATTTAGACTCGATATAGCGCCGCTCGGTCACATATTCCGTAGTGGAACTCATCCGAGTTTCCTTTACCCATCGAACTGTGCCCCATATATATATAAGTCTCTTCATGTCTCTCCGTTTCTGTCTATCACATACTATTTATATCTATCTATCTATCTATCTATCTATCTATCTATCTATCTATCTATCTATCTATCTATCTATCCCAGTTTATTCAGTCTGCTTACTATCTATCTATCTATCTATCTATCTATCTATCTATCTATCTATTTCAGTCTGTTCATATCTATCTATCTATCTATCTATCTATCTATGCTTGTGCGTATTTGATGTGTACCTGCAGGTGTCTATGTGTTAAGTTCACGCAGCGTAGGAGCGTGACAACTCGACGCTCTTAAATGTCAATTCGTTTCAATGACCGCTGCGTCTTTCATAAAATCTGAATGAAAAGTGTTTATATTCATGTGTCAGTTTATTCATTGGGCCACGGATGCGATTCTTCGACATAAACCCTTCCCCTCTGGCCACTTTGGCGTGGCAAGTCGTCTTCTTTCCGCCACTGGCATGTATTAATATTTGGATGTTATGAGAGTTTGATGTCGATACATTTCCTAAAGGCATATCCATTTATTCTCTCTATCGGGATTATTGTTGGGTTAGATACGCTGGATTTCAATGCCAACGGAATTTTAACACTTGTCTTTTAATACACAAACACACACAAACACACACACACATAGACACACAAAAAGACTCACACAGAAACTGACATATAAAAACTTGCTTGCATATAAAGACACACGAACACAATACGCAGCTAGATGTAAATATAGACTTAGATATATCTATTATGCAATGGATGAAGTCCGATAATTATTTAACATATTTTCTGTTTATACGTTGTTGTTTGTTTATAGATACAATTTTTTAAAGTAAATCCACTGTTTCTAATTAAACAGTATTAATTAAATTAATTAAATTATTAATTAAATGAATTAAATTAACGGCCTGAATACTCGTGAAATTTCATAGAAAATATAAGTTCTTCAACAGGAATCGAACCTCTGTTTCTATACGAAAACTTCATTTGATCTGTCGTGGTATACTATTTAGCTACAGCGAAGCTTCCAAATTACTGTTTTTAAACCAACAATCTTTGAGGATTAGTGATACGGGTTCGATTCCTGTCGGAGTACGCATATTTTCTACGAAATTTCTCAAACCTTCAGTCATGTAAAAACAGAACATTTACTTAAATAAATTGTATCAATACAAATAAGGTATAAATAAAAAATATATTAAATATTAGTCGGACTTAATCTATTTTTATTGTATGTTATCATTGTTCACTATACGTTTCGTGTGCAGATATGATCAATCGAGAAAAATCATTGAAGATTACGTATTTAAAAACAGTAATTTGGAATTTACGAACCAGACGCTTCTCTGTAGCTAAATGGTATAACACGTCAGATCAAATGACTGTTTCCGTATTAGAATACAGATTCAATTCCTGTCGAAGAACTCACATTTTCTACGAAATTTCTCGAATGTTCAGCCGGGTAAATGTAGTTATTATCTTTAATTAAAAACAGAGCATTTACTTTAATAAATTGTATCTATAAAAAATAACGTATAAACAGAAAATATACACATATATGTAAATACACAAAAACACACACGCATATAAATATATATACACCTGCAAACAGGTCCCTGCACTTTATGAATGTAAGTGCAGGATATCTACCAATGGCGAATGGCGGTCCGATGTGCTACAAGGCCGAATTTAATGTGAGGTGTCCGGGTCTAGGCTCGGCAAAAAAAAAAAAAAAAAAAAATTCCCCGTAGACCCCATATAGAACGGCGTCGGGTAGCTGTTTCCCGAGACAAGGCACAAAGTTTGACCACACAGCTGGAGACGAATCTCTAACTGCAGAATGTAAGTGCAGTACTAGATTGGCAGTTAGGTCTAATCAGTTTACAGTTAGAACGGCCAGATGTAACCGTAGGTTCTATGCTAACAGTTTCTTCTCTCACACGGCTCGCTTATGGAAATCTCTTCCGATTTCTTGCTACCCAGTCAACTTTGATTTTCAAAATTTAAATGCAGTGCCAATCGTTATCTACTGTCTTCTTAATTCCTGTTCTTTTATTGTTCTCTCCTTTTAATACCGTTTAATTTTAGTCATATTCTCTCACATTTGTTGTTCTTTTACCATGAAGCGAACATTGGAAGACGCTAAGAATGAAGCTAACGGCGTCTCCTCAGCCTTGACTTTGCGCAAAATGATCCTGTTTTCTATCTATCTATCTATCTATCTATCTATCTATCTATCTATCTATCTATCTATCTATCCCAGTCTCTTCATATCTATCTATCTATCTATCTATCTATCTATCTATCTATCTATCTATCTATCTATCGCATCCTGGTCCTATCTATCTATCTATCTATCTATGTCTGTTCAAAGGAAAAAAAAAGAGAATTATGAACAAGCAGAATACCTTAGACATTTATATTGTCCTAAATACAAAGTGCAATCGAAATATTCCCTGGAAAGTTAAATTGAAAGCAAACAATTTAAAGTATATTTTTCAGTACTGGATTGGCAGTTAGGTCACATCATTTTACCGTTGAAATCACAAGATATAACCGTCAGTTTTATCAGTCAGATCTATGTTAATTTCTCGCTGTTTTCTTGCAAAAAATGAAGTTAGATGCAAATTATTCGGCAACACAAGCAGAAAAGTTGAAGGAAAATTCATTTTTTTTGTATTTCGATTACGTCACGCTATTTTGACGTCAGAATAAAAAAAAACGATGTCATCTAAATGTTAACTGAAAATAAGAGAAATTTATTTACTGAAATTTAAATTAAATTTAAATTAAATTAAATTTAATTTAAATTTTGTTTAATTCCGTCTTTTTTTTAGTTTTTACAAGCTTTCGTCTGTTCCTACAGACATCATCAGGTATGGAAATAGATTTTGTTCTTGTTTTTTACTTCTCGGTAATAAGACATTACTATATTTGTACAAAAACGCACAACCTTAAAATTTTTAATTCAAACTTAGCGTTGGGACCGCACGTTCCAAAACAATAACACATTTCTCATAGCATTTTTTCGGATTACATCTCTATTTTCGTTGTCCTCTTATTACCGAGAAGTAAAAAACAAGAACAAATCTATTTCCATACCTGAGGATGTCTGTAGGAACAGACGAAAGCTTGTAAAAACTAAAAAAGACCTTATGAAACTGTAATTTATAAACAGGGATCATATCATTCATATACAGGTTCGGGGTTAGTGTATCTTATTGAAATTGTTTGCGAAGATGTATTCTCGCCATTTAAATCATTAACCTCGATATTTGCTTTATGTATGAATGATTCATATAATTATAAATTCAACTACACCTATAATCGAATATATATATATATATATATATATATATATATATATATATATATATATATATATATATATATATATATTTTTGTCTCAGACGGCATGACAACTCCGAAAATGAAATGAAATTGATATAATATTTCGGCATTCAATGATCGAAAACCATCTTCAAAAATTAATTCCTGATGCCGCCGTATAAATGATTTTGAAAGTATTAAATTGTTTAAGTTTTTTATTTTTTTATTTTCTCCTTTAGTTTTAAAAGGATAGTAGACAGACTAAAGCTTTGGTAAACAAGATTTTCCTTTATTCACAATTTGCTTTAATCAGACCAGCTTTTGAAACCTGACAACGCGGTTGCAGATAACACCGTGCTGACGAACAGGTTAGAAATCTATTGGAACATCTAGACATGGTAAACATGAAAATTGTGAAGAAAGGACTAGCTATCGATTGTAAGAAAATATAGACCAATTTGAAATATCTAGGAAACATAATGAGGAAAGAGGGTATGGAGAATCTGATGCTCACAGGATATATTTTAGGTAAGAGCGAAGAGGCATTTAGACGAGATAGCTAAAATTTATTAAGAGTTAGAAAGGAAATGAAATTCTGCAGAGGACATGGCACATCGAAGAAGAAGAAGAAGAAGAAGAAGAAGAAGACAACTTAGAAGAAGAAGAAGAAGAAGAAGAAAAAGAAGAAGACAACTTAGAAGAAGAAAAAGAAGAAGACAACTTAGAAGAAGAAGAAGAAGAAGACAACTTAGAAGAAGACAACTTAGAAGAAGAAGAAGAAGAAGAAGACAACTTAGAAGAAGAAGAAGAAGAAGAAAAAGAAGAAGACAACTTAGAAGAAGAAGAAGAAGAAGACAACTTAGAAGAAGACAACTTAGAAGAAGAAGAAGAAGAAGAAGAAGACAACTTAGAAGAAGAAGAAGAAGACAACTTAGAAGAAGACAACTTAGAAGAAGAAGAAGAAGAAGACAACTTAGAAGAAGAAGAAGAAGAAGAAGAAGAAGAAGAAAAAGAAGAAGACAACTTAGAAGAAGAAGAAGAAGAAGACAACTTAGAAGAAGAAGCAGAAGAAGAAAACTTAGAAGAAGGAGAAGAAAACTTAGAAGAAGAAGAAGACAACTTAGAAGAAGAAGACAACTTAGAAGAAGAAAAAGAAGAAGACAACTTAGAAGAAGAAAAAGAAGACAACTTACAAGAAGAAGAAGAAGAAGAAGAAGAAAAAGAAGAAGAAGTTCTAGTGAACAAGTCGGCAATGACGAAGTTTTTGTGAAAATGAAAACAAAACATTCACTTTTACTTACCATTTGAAGGAGACAGTTGAAATTTCTATGGCACATACTGAAGAAAGGGGGTTTGGAAAATCTGCAACTCACAGGGCAGATTAAAGGTGCGAAGGTCAGAAGAAAACATTGGATAACCTACATAGCGCGCTTGAATAAATGGTTAACGGAACAAGGTTTAGGAGAGAAAACAAAAACGACAAAATTTATTGAGAGCTACAAAGGACAGGAAGCTGTGGCGAGCCATGATCACCAAAATCCTGAAATGACGCAACATATACAATAAGAAGATGAAAAAGCGTTTTCTTAAAAAAATTCTCACGTACACTTTTTTTAGATTGATTTTGGGAAGTGCTTCAACCCGTTAACTTTTCATCATTTGTCATATGTATTGCGCATATATCTGTGTGTTTCAATAGATATTTTCAAATAATCCCAGCTGGTAGCGGGTACGCCGTGACGTAGCCAATGTTTACCACAAAGAAAACAGAGAATAGCAAGCTAATTGAGAAAAAATGAAAAAAAAAAACCTCTTTCTTTTCCACAAGCGATTCTGTCGGGCGTCCAGCAAGTCGACATCTATATTTGACATTTTGATTCGGAATATTGGATCTCAGACCATATTAACCTTCAGAACTGCCGGAGTCAGTCTTAGATGAAGTGGGTCGATAGTTTATTAGATTTCGACTTTTTGACATCGCCTAAAGGAAAAGATCGGTGGCGATATTTTTCCTCCATTTTTCTTTTTTCTAAACCACTCGGTCTTTTCAAAATGCGTTTCAACATTTTTGATTTTGAAGGACAAAACCTCAATTGCAAGAGGAGAGAATGCATTGTTGCGACCAAACGAAGCAGCCGAACATGCACATTAAAATTAGAGATACCAAAAGTAGAACAATTTAAATAACTGGGAAGTATTTTGAAAGGGGACAAAAAGTGGAACACTTAAATTCGGAGTCGCATTGAAAGATGTCTTCCAAAATCTAATCAAAATATTAAGAAACAGGAAAACTTTGCTAGAAACAAAGAAAAGACTCATGTGCCATGCATGATACACGCTTAGGTGACTATGTATCTTTCGATACATGACTGACGAGGCAGATTTTTCCCTCAGTAGGTTGCCATTTCATTCATGGCACAAGAAGAAAAAGAAGAAAAAGAAAAAGATAAGTGTGGTTGTAATGAACATGTCGGCAATGATGAATTTTTTTGAAAATGGAAACAAAAAGTACACTTTTCCTTAACATTAGAAAGAGACAGTTGAAATTTCTGTGGCACATACTGAGGAAAGAAGGCTTGGAAAATTTGACACTCACAAGGCAGATTGAAAGTACGAAGTAGGTTGTCATTTCATTCTGCGGTAGACTAGATGTCATTCACGGTTATGGTACCCGGTATGTCTATATACCCAAATCCAGGGTGGGGTTGGGTTAGAAGAAGATTCATCCCCTTATCAAGCGTGTTAGCACGTAAACGAATGTAACGGATTCGACTGGAATTCGAACTCGGGTCTCCGATTCCTCAATCCGAGCCGCTATCCATTACTCCACCGTGCTTCCAAGGAAAGACTACTGAACTCTTATGTAATATCAATCCTCCTATATGGCAGTGAATGTCGGAAAATCTCCCTAACGATTAAGAATAGACTTGAAGCAACAGAAGCGTGGTTCTACAGAAGGATGCTGAGAATACCATGAGCCGAACACATGATCAACGACGGAGTTTTAGAGAAAATGGAAACAAATAAGAGACGTATACTTAATATCAGGAAGGGCCGTTGAAATTTCTTGGGTGCATAATGAGGAAAGGGACTTCGATACTCCCTGGATACTCTGATAATCAGGGGACACATTGAATGGAAGGACAAAACAAAACAACGCATAATATACCTGGCGATCTTGAATGAATGAATCACTATGCACGATTTAGGAGAGCTGACAAAGATAACATTTGCTAAGAGCTACAAAGGACTGGAAATTGTTGAAAGTCATGATCGCTGACCACCTAAATGGGACACGGTACACAGAAAAAATATATTGATAGTCGGCCTGAAGGAAGAATGATTTCTGTCGGTTATTTTTGTATGACTCATTTTCGGAGAAAAAACGCACGGAAGTCGAACAATTATTTTATTGTCTACAGTTCACCCTTGGTTCTCGAACGTCTCACATGTCGAACAAATCGGTTTTCGAACAGAATATTCGAGATGAAAATAACCTCGTTTATCAAACAAAATTTTGGAGATCGAACAACATTGCCAAACCGAGTTAACCCGAACGGAATCATTTCTTAGTCGACCGCCATGTTGTATATATTCGTGTGTTGTTCCGTGCTTTTCTTTTCTAATTTTATTATACTGTGACAGTTTTTTCTCTTCATTAGTCTTCAGTCATGGTTCCAAAGAAAGCTAGCAGTGATACCAGTAAAGCAAAAAGAAAAGTTAAGAGTAAATAATTGTTGATACTGTCTCTTCTTAATCAGTTTCATATGTCAAAATCTATACTATTCTTATAAATAAAGAGACGATCATATCTTTCCTTTCCAAACAATAACATTTCTTTCCTTCCCCTTCCTCTTACGCCATCAACTCTCCTACTTATAAGTACAGTAAAATTGAAGTGTTCGTCTATATTTCCTCTGTTTAGTATTGAGTTTATTTACTTTTTAGATTAAATGATTTTCATTAGTTTTGTGTAAAAACTTGAGCCCAAAGTACTGTTACTAAAGTTTAAATGAGCACTCATCTTGCGACCAGGAACAAATTAATTCATTTTACATTGATTCCTCTTGGAAAAAATATTTTCAATTTACGAACATTTCGGGTTACGAACGGGCTTCAGGAACAAATTATATTCGTGAACCGTGGTTCTACTGTATTTTAATAAATGAAAACATGAAATTCTTATTTTATTTTTAGATACTAATTTTATTTTCATACCAATTTTAAATATCAATTTTAAATATCAATTTTATATACCTATTTTATTTTAAAATAACAATTCATCAAAAGCCCAACAGCCGATTTTTGTCTGAAGCACAACTATAATTTGTCGATTCAAATGTTTTTTTTTTTTCGTATTTTAAGCTTTAATTAATTGTTCGAACAAAAGAAAAGATTTTATTCATCAAAATATGTCTCATCACATCCTATTTTCTGCTGTCATCGTTTTGCCCGAAATTCAAATCAACGTTCATATCATTTCACAGGTTGAAAGGCAAACAAAAATTCCTGTATCAGTTTTTGACCATATCCACTTTGTTGAACCTCCGTCCGCGCGGGGAAAAAATGATCCATATCCCGGAAAAGGTGATAATCTGATGGTGCAAGTTCTGCACTCTAGGCAGGTTGAGACAGTCTTTCCAGGCCCTAAAGTTCTCCAGGTTAGTTACATTGATAGTGTGTGCTCGGGCATTGTTATGCTGTAGGAGTGTCCGTTTTCGATTGACCAATGCCGGGTAGTGGACTTTCAAAGCATCATATACTCGCTGCAGTTGCTTGCGGTCAAATCACGATGAAAACACCTTTCGATCACTGAAGTTAAGCATCGTAGAGCCAGGTCAGTACTCAGATGGGGGACCGCTTGGGCACAGCTGGTACTGTAAGCAGACCCCTACTACCGGGGTAAATTTTCATTGGGCACCTCAACGTGGTCTAATATTTAGAAAGCTTGTCTCGCTAGATTAATTAAGACTAAATAGCGAGTTCGATCCTCACTGGGTTCCCCAAACTTTCGGTCTTGTGCAACGTTTAAGCTACGCTTAAAAAAAAGGGAACCTTGAGGTGGCGTAATGGTTAGCATGCTTGTGTCGATAGAATAATTACGACTGAGTAGTGAGTTCGATCCTCATTGGACACCTCCTTCTTGCGGCCTTGTGCCACATCTGAGCTACGCTTGGAAAATCACTATACTCGCTGCAGTTGTTGAGCATAAATGTCGTCGTTAACAACAAGACCATCTGGGACGAGCTCAAAATGCAACATCCCTCAACATTCCAGTAAACACAAAAGATAATCTTCTGTTCAAATCGTACTTGTTTGATAATAGTTTATGAAGCCTGACCGGAACAAAACCACTGATTTATTTTATTAGGATTACAAAAATAGATTTCTTTTCAACACGAGTTACAATTTGACGCCACGGACTGGTATCTTGAGGATTTGCCAGCCGTTGTTTGTAAATGGTCACACATCGTTGTGTTTGGTTATTGGTCAGTTCACGAGGGATTTCTCGACAGCGTCTGTTCCAAATGCCGAGTATATGGAGGTGTCGATTGATGTTGCTTTGTGAAACACCAAGTACTGCCAACAAGGTACGAGTGCTTCTTCTTGGCGTTTATTTAACCAATTCAAGCAAGACCTGATCTTCTACAACATAAGGTCACTCTCTAACCTTGGTCTTTCTTCAAGGCTTGTGTCATCTTCCTTGAAACGTCTGAAGCAGTTTTGTGCCACAGTTCATGGGCTTTACAAACTATTAATTTCTTTTGTTGTTGTCACTGCATTTAGTTATTTTCTCTACAGGCAGCGTAAACGGCTCTAATTGCACATTTTTTCACCACCTATCATCAAAGCTGTAAAATAAAGAATAAAAGATTAATGTCTTTATGTCATATACATTGTCAGCACACGCTCCTATCCGAACATCGGGATCGTCATTTCAACACTATTCAATTTATCTCCCTAAATGGAGCTGTGAATCAAAAAGAATTTGACGAGGTCATTCGCGTGAATTTGATTTTGGTGGACAACCCCGTGCGACGGAGAAGCGCGCACACCTTTAGCCAGAAGCGCATCCCTTGCGGCTCAAAAGGGATTGAGATCTATCAAACCGGATGCTAGTTCTCTCAAGCTGAGCTTTGGTTACACCGGCCCGTCTGGCGCTGCCTCCTTTCGCCCGTTTGGCCGTTGAAATCGTGTAGATCTTTGCCTACTTCTCCATTGGGGGACTTCGGTGGGTTGGTCGTGTTCAGTCTGGTCTATCCATATATATTTTATTTATGAGAATAAAGAATAAACAATTCAGCAATAATTGGAAAACAAGTTGCAAACAAATTAATCATATAACGTGGAGATACAATATGCCAAATATTATCAGTGAAAATTCGAAAAAAAAAACCCCACCAACTTTTGACACAGCATGGTATAACCTGTCTATTTATTTCGGACTGTCCCCGTTTACAACCTGTACGCATACAAGCACTTGCAGTAACTGTAATGTGTTTATACCATGGCGTATATGATCGGCAGTAAGACTCAATATTAAAAATGTTTTCTTCTTTTTTTTTCGTTTCAACCAATGCGTTGAGACATCGTCATTAAAGAAAAACGCTTTTCTACAGTTGGTTAGTATATTTTACCCGTTTCCCTACTAAGATGTGATGTGATACAAGGGCGGGTTTAAAAAAACAATCAATTCAAAAATCTAATTTCAAAAATTATTTTTGTCCTGCATTTTTTTAATCACATCGTAATCAATGAACGAAAATAAGCGAATGATGTAATTTTGCGTTGTTTCCATTTAATTAAACAAAAATAAAACTGCTATTAACAAGGACAAAATACAAAATCATCTTGTATTATTATTATTATTATTATTATTATTACTATTATTATTATTATTATTATTATTTATTTTAATTTCTTGTGTGTATTTATTTCCTTCCGGGTCCCGACCAGAGACCTAAGGTTAGAAATGGCATCATTACGTTTTCCACTGAGCAATTAAAAAAACAAACAAACAAAAAACACACTTATGTTACAGAGATAAATCCCTTTGTAAGGTGTAGGCTGTACGCGTGAGATCAATTTTTTGTATTTTTGAGGGTATTTTTAGGAAAAAAAAGTGCGTCTTGTAAGCCGGAAAATACGATAATTAAATACGCGGTTATATCATCCTAATCTTTTTAATATATATGGTTCTTTCCATTAATACATTGTTTGTAGACTCCAGATAATAACAAGTAAACAAAGACAATGTCTCGTATGTTCAAATTAGCCCACAATTCTATAAAATCTTGACGAAATATACGGTTGCCTTTTAACAGTAGCATCGTTAATGTCAAACTCAAGCAAATATAGCTTCAGTAATTTCCTCTTGAACACGAGAGACTAAAAAATAAAACTAGAAAAACACGTAATTCAGCCATAAAATATAGAAAGAAAAAGGTCACTTACAAATCGACTCAGAAAGAAACAGCAGACATTTTTCGCGCTGCTAATGAGGAAAGAGGTCTTGAAGATTTTGACACCCACAAGGCATACCGAAGGCAAGAGAGCTAGTGTGTGTGTGTGTGTGTGTGTGTGAGAGAGAGAGAGAGAGAAAGAGAGAGAGAGAGGGGGGGAAAGCAGCTTGTGTAAAATGATTGGCAGATCGGATTAGGAGAGATAGCAAAAAAGACAAACTTTACTAAAAGTCGCAAAGGACAGGAAATCGACGAGAGCCATGATCGCTCACCTGCCAAAGGGATACTGCACATTACATAGAAGATTGTTAATTTCAGAACTATACAAATATAGATCATTCGTTCGGGAAGTAAGAACCTTCGACAAATCTCAGACGTATGTTCATACATCATATCCATATAAATGTGTAAATTTGACGAAGCTATATCAGAACCTAGTTTGAGATTTACGCTAAAAGATTTGATTTTCTATCAACATGCGTTGTTAGACAAAGCTACACCTGCGCAACATATACTCTGTTCAATTTCATTATCTTTCATATTAGATTTGTTATAACTAATCAATACACCGAGGTATTTGAAGTGTTTAATATATACTAATTCCACATCCTTTATTTTTATGATGGGTTCAGAGTATGTGACGTCATTGTTTTCATTCCACTTCCAGGTCACAGTTTCTGTTTTTGATAAGCTTTATCTTGAGTCCTATTTATTGGAATCCTTGGTAGAGGATGTTGAAGATCTTTACGTTTCTCTTGTCTGCGTCTTTTAATGTCAGTCGAGTCAGTACTTTCTGAGCGACTGCTCGGTTGAACTCTCTTCCTACGGACGGGAGGAACCCGAACGAGGCTACGCCGAAAGGCGGAGTCTCTTTCGGGGAGGTAAACCGGCCCTGAACCCGTCTATACGGGTTCAATGGGCATATTTTTGGCCGAGCCCACGGGCTCGGAGTGCCCACATTAAAAAGGCCTTGTGCCACATGACACCCTCGTGGGGGCGAGTGACTGAATATCGTCTTTTAATGTCACTAATGTTATTTTATTACATGAACAAACTACTGTTTTTTTTTTTTTTTTTTAACCAAGCCGAGAATAACTTAATGATTTACAACAGCATCACGGCTTGTCCTCAACAGTACAGTGCCTGCTTCACCTAAAATCTTTAATTTTCTACTCGTTTTTCCAAGATCAAACTGTTGTAGCTGTTCTCGTATTATTTGAGGTAGGAGAAGGTGCCTGGACCCGGAGAATTCAACCTTGTGACAACACCTTCAATTTGCGGTGTTGGACGTGGCCATCTCTAGAGAAGACCATTTCCTTTACTTCTATCACATAATGTTTGTTATAAGTAATCCATACGCCGAGGTATTTGAAGTATTTAGTATTTACTAATTCCACATCTTGATTTTTTTTTTACCATGGATTCAGAATATGTCTGCTTTCATTTCAGTTCTAGATCATAGTTTATTTTTTGAAAAGGTTTCACCTGAGTCTTCTTTTTCGGAATACTTGGTAGAGAACGTTGATATTCTTTTGAAGATCATTTTTAGTCCTTACTAGTCATTTTTAGTCATTTTTAGTCATTACTAGTACTAAATAGAACATTCAGTACAACAATTTTTTCAGTACTACAAATTCACCAATTGTGAGTCCCTCGTCATATCTACATTTTTTGTAATCATTTCACCCCGAACAAGGCAATAAAGCCACTAACTAAGTAGTTACTGAGTGTAGGAGAATATGAGGAAAAAACATTATTAAGGACAGAGAACAATAAAATAACAAGAATAAAGAAGATAACGATTGATATTGCATTTATATATTTGAAGATCAAAGTTGACAGGGAAGTAAGAAGCCGGAAGAGTGTCCGCAAACGAGAAGTGCTCGAGAAGAAACTATCAGCCTAGAACTTACATCTAGCTACTTCAACTATAAAAATAATGAGACCTCATGGCCAGTCGAATACTGCGCTTAAAGTCATGAAATTTAAGTAACGTAGAGGAAAGTTCATCAAAACAATTACAATGAAAATATTTATAAAAAATATTTATTTGTAGTATGTAGATTTTTGCAAATATTGCATAATGACAAAAAATGAACATCTTACTAGGAACATAAATTAATAACAAAAACTTCCTTTGAGCAGCTCCCATGAATAAATATTTTGTTTAATCATTTCATCCTAAGCAAGGTCATAAAGCTACTAAGACGTAAGAGAATATGTGGAAAACATTAGTAAACGGGAGCAAGAAGACGTCATGCCACTTACGTAGTAGCAAGCCACCCCCGTTCCCTCCACTAGTTCCACTCGAACAGCTTCTTCCCGCGAACCACTGCTCTGTGGAACCGACTCCTAAGAGGGTGTTTCCCCGATCACTACAATCTTAACCTGTCCACGGCTACGGTTAATCGTTATATTCCA